ACACCGGGAAATATGGAGGAACCCCCACCCTGGGCAGGGGGGGCTGAGGGGTCACCCTGCACTCTCTGGGATTTGGGGAGGGGGCTGAGGAGTCACCCCATGACCTGAGAGAGGCCGAGAGATCACCCCATGGCTCCAGATTTTTGGGTGGGGTGTGAGGGGTCACCCCGTGCCCCCCTCACTCCATTGATGTTCTGGGGGTCCCAGGGGGGGTGTGAGGGCTCACCCCATACCCTTCCTTGTTCTGGGGGTCCCGGGGGGGTTCTGTTGCTGCTCTGGGGGTCCCTGGGGGGGTTTATGTTGATGCTCTGGGGGTCCCGGGGTGCTCTGGGGGTCCCTGGGGGGGTTTATGTTGCTCTGGGGGTCCCGGAGGGGGTCCTGGAGTGCTGGGGGGTCTCTGGGGGTCCCTGGGTGGGGGTTACCTGCCATTTGAGCGCCACGAGCTGGTCGGGGTTGGCAGTGAGGGGTCACCCCGTGCCCCCCTCACTCTGGGGGTCCCTGGGGGGGTCCCTGGGGGGTCCCTGGGGGGGTTACCTGCCGTTTCAGTGCCACGAGCTGCCCGTCGAGCTGGCGCAGGGCCCGGGCCCCCAGGTCGGGGTTGGCCGTCACCTCGGCCACGTCCTGGCGGCTCAGGCGCATCCCTTTGGGGGGGCGGCGCCGCTGCCGAGGGGGGGGGTGGTGCCGGTACTGGGGGGGCTCCTTGCGCGGCCCCGCCCGCGGGAACGGCCCCTGCAAGGGGGGGGGACACACACGGGGGGGGTCCTGAGCCACTCACACCCCCCCTGTGCCCCCCAGCGCTCCAGCTGTGAGACCCCCCCAGAGATCCCAAAGTTCGATCTGTGCCCCCACAGAGCCCTCAAAGCCCGACCTGTGCCCCCCCGACCCCCCAAAACCTCAACCTGTGCTCCCCTAAACTCCCCCGAAGTTCAACCTTTGGCCCTAAAAAACACCCCCAAAGCCCCTCCTTGTGCCCCTCAAGCCCCCCCAGCCCATTCCCAACCACCCCTTGTGCCCCCCCAAACCTCTTTTTTGGGGTCTGGGGGCTCCGTGTCCCCGTCGGGGGGGGGTCGGTGCTCGTCGGTCTCGTCGTTGCTGGGGGGGGGAGGGGGGAGGTAAGACGGGGTTTGGGGGGCTCAGGGGGGTTTTGGGGTTCAGGGGGTTGTTATGGGCTCAGGGGGCTGCCAGGGGCTGCATGGGGGGGTTTTGGGGGGGGTTTTGGGGTGTTTCTGGGGTGGTTTTGGGGTGGTTTTGGGG